TCGGGAACTAAATACGTAATTAATCAAATCAATAAATCCTTAATACTTGATACACTTATCACCTATAAGAATTTTTAGCAAACATTATGTGGAATGTATAATTTATATGCGGAAAGAATTTGTACGAATGTTAGTCGGGTACCCTCTGCACCTACTCCTTCGACTGAAATTGAAGAAGATGATGCCAAAATAATGAATTTATTCAAGGCATTAATACATTTAGATATGATACAACTGTAATGTGTTCATCTAGTGTCATATCGTCTACATTTGCATCTCATCAAACATCGGTCGAAACTCAAAATGTGATGTCTTCCGAATTAATTGATTATTGCAATCATAATATGTCAACAGATGGAATAATTAAAAAATGTTTAGATGACGTAATTGAATTCTGGTAAAAGTATGATAGACGTTAACCAATTGTTTCTACAATTGCGAAAGATCTGCTGACACCTCCGGTTAGCACTATTGTTTCGGAGTCTGCTTTTAATGCAGGTAAAAGTGTTTTGATCAATGTCAGGAGCCAACTGAAAGAAAATATTTTGGAAGCGTTAATGTGCGTGAAGAATTGGCACGACGCTCATTTTCGACTACAAGATAAATACGTTGAAATTACATGTCGTCAGATAAGTGATATTTGATTTAATTATATTAATCAAAATTTCCTTCTTTTTAATTGTTAAATTTAATTTTCTTTAAAAAGTTGTACACATTACAACAAATTGTTCATGTACAATTTTTAACTCCGCCTACTTAAAATTGATGTAGCCAATCCCAAACTCGGATAAAGGATGAGAGTTTACATTTTATCTAATTTAAAAAGAAATTGAAAAATATATTTTTTTTTATAAATGTATTTCAAAAAATAATTTGTCTTCATTATATAAATATTTTATACTTTATAAAAAATATTACAATATGATATAAATAAAAAACTAAAAAAGTGTCTTCATTAAATTATTTTTTTAACACTTTTTATTTTTTTTAAAAATGTTTTCATTACATTACTTGTGTTTTTCTCTATTTAAAAAAAAAAAAAGACGAGCCCACAAGCCGAACTCGCCTAAAATCAACAAGCCGAGCCCAACGAGCCATGAGCGCGAGTCGAGCTCGTGAGGTTAAGGGCCGGGCCGAGCCACATTAGTTGTCTCACTCATAATCTATTGCTTAACCCCTTCATCTGTTTCTGATCCTACCCAAGTTGGCCTTCGATGTTGAATTTATTCCCCATTAGACTTAAAAAACACGGGCGGTTGGTTGTAGGTTTCTTCTGGTTCTCTATCGATCCCATACACCCATCAAAGAAATTCGAGTATTTCAATCTTTCAGAGCTTTGTTTCCCCATTCTGAGATTTTCAATCCCTCCTCGAAGTGTAGCAAGCACCAAACACAAGACGCGAGACATTGCATCCACCTTTCGCTCCAGCTTAAGTTAGGATGCCTAGAGGGTCTACACACTGCCATCTGCACCACTAGTGTGGATATTGTTAGTTCCATCTTCAGCCATAGCTCCCGAATCAATCGAGGGCTTTGATATCAAAATTTGACAAAGCAAGAAAAATTACTTAGTAAAGTTAGCTAGATGTCACGGACTTGCTAATTTCCTTCAAGAACCGTGCGGCCTTAGTGTCTTCAACTTCCGCCCCCGTGGTTATTACACTAAGTCAGCCTCTCGATTGGCGTTGATGTTTTAGAAAGGCACTAAGTAGAACACTTTTAAGAAAGGGACAATGAAGGAACACAAGGACTTACAAAGAATGCTTTGTATTGAATAAGGAATACTCTTTACAACTTCACTCTCTTGATCCTTCAAATGAATCCTACCAAGCTATTTATAGTGGTAGCCTCCTCAAATGGATGGCTAGGATCTTTTCTATCCAACGGTCTAAATTACACCTCTAGAATTATCTATACAAATATCTACATTAAAATATCTATGGACTAAACTAGGATGATCTAGATTAATCCACCAAGTGAAGGGCTTGTAGTTTCTAGAATGTCCCACCATATTCTAGCAATCTTCATGCACTTGTGGGAGTCTAGAATATTCCGGTTAGCCCCAAGTCGTCAACATTTTAAGTTTCTCGATCTTCTTATGCCAAGATCGAGCGAGTCGTGACATCCTCCCCTGCCTATTTGGGCGACGCCCTCGTCGCCGCGTAATGCTTTAGTTTGTCTTCGAACTGCCACAAGTCTTCTTGACTTTCCCACGTTGCTTCGGACTCGGGCAATCCCTTCCACTTTATCAAAAATTGTTGGCAAGGAGGCACTCCACGCCTTCGCACAATGCGATCTGCTAGGACCTCATCAACCTCCTTGTCAAATGACTTAGTCACAATCGGAGGTGCCCGTTGTGACTCCCCTCGGCTAGGATCTTCCATGTCTTCATGATAGGGCTTCAACATGCTCACATGGAAGATAGGATGAATCTTTAAAGTGCTAGGTAGGTCAAGGCGATAAGATACCTTGCCAACCTTAGCTATCACCGGGAACGGCCCTTCATATCTCCGTACCAAGCCTTTGTGCACACTTCGGTACGCTTTGAATTGTTGAGGTAATATTTTCACAAGGACTTGGTTGCCAACTTTAAATTCCAAAGGCCGTCTCTTCTTATCGGCCCACTTCTTCATCCGCCTCCGTGCTTTGTTTAAACAAGATCGTGCTAAGTCGGCATGCTCTTCCCAGGACTTAGCCATTTTGTATGCTCCGGGGCTTTTCCCTCCTTCAATAGAAGTGGACAAAGTGTGGGGTGTTAGTGGTTGTTGTCCTATCACCAACTCGAATGGACTCTGCCCCGTGGCTTCACTCCTTTGTAGATTGTAGGAAAATTGTGCAATATCCAGGAGCTTGGCCCAATCTCTTTGATTGGCACTTACAAAGTGCCGGAGATAGCACTCTAACAAAGCATTTACCCTTTCTGTTTGTCCATCCGTCTGAGGGTGAAAGCTTGTAGAGAAGTATAGGTCCGAGCCTAGGAGTTTGAACAACTCCGTCCATAGCCGACCCGTGAATCGGGGATCACGATCACTTATTATGCTCCGCGGTAACCCCCAATACTTCACGACATTCTTGAAGAATAGCCTCGCGGCTTCCTCTGCTGTGCAATCCTTGGTGACAGGAATGAAGGTGCCATACTTGGAGAATCGATCAACCACCACCATTATTGACCCGAACCCTTCGGATTTAGGCAGGGCACTAATGAACTCCATGGTGATAGAGTCCCATGGATGCTCCGGGACTGGTAGAGGCTCCAACAAACCCGCTGGTGACCTTGTTTCCACCTTGTCTTGTTGGCACACAAGACAAGTCTTTACATAGAGCTCTACCATGTCTTTCATTGCGGCCAATAGTAAGCTCGTTCAAGTAGTGCCAATGTGCGTTTCTGCCCTGGGTGACCAGCCCACTTTGTGTCATGGCACTCCTTGATGATATCTCGCCGCAAATTGTTCCACTTAGGAACATAGATATGCTGCCCCGTAGTGTAGAGTAAGCAGTCCTTGACCCAAAATTGTCGCGTCTTTCCTTCTTGGGCAGCTTTTACCAACTCCTTAGCCAAGGGATCATGATCCATGCCTTCCCGAATCAAATCAAGCAACGTCCCTTTGGCTTGGCTTATGGCTGCAAGCTCCGCCTTCCTGCTTAACGCATCGGCTACAACATTCGCCTTTCCCGGCTTGTATTCCATCACATAGTCAAACTCCGCTAAGAAATCTTGCCAACGTGCTTGCTTGGGAGTCAGCTTTTTTTGTAATTGGAAATAACTAGTAGCGACATTATCTGTCTTGATGATGAATTTTGAGCCCAACAAGTAATGACGCCACACTCGTAGGCAATGAACAATAGCCGTCATCTCCTTTTCTTGCACCGTATACCGACGCTCAGTGTCGTTGAGCTTGGGACTTTCAAAAGCAATAGGATGCCTTTCTTGCATTAGAACACCCCCGATAGCAAAGTCTGAGGCATCCGTTTGTACTTCAAAGGTCTTCGTGAAATCCGGCAATGCCAAGACCGGTTCCTCCATCACGGCCGCCTTTAAATCATCAAAGGCCGTTTGACATTTCTCGGACCAATCCCATGTCTTATTCTTTTTCAATAGGTCCGTTAGTGGGGCTGCCCTCGCTGAGTAGCCCTGGATGAACCGCCGATAATAATTAACTAGACCAAGGAAAGAACGAAGTTCGGTTACCTTAGTTGGTGCTTCCCACTCCTTGATTGCTTCTACTTTTACCTCATCCATCTTCAAGCGCCCGTGGCCAATGATATGTCCAAGGAAGTACACCTCCTCCTTGGCAAAGGAACATTTTTCCTTTTTGATGTATAGCTCATTCTCCCACAATGCTTGGAACACCATTCGGAGATGTTTTGCGTGATCCTCCAAGTTGTCGCTATAGATGACAATGTCATCCAAGTATACTACCACGAACTTGTCCAAGTAAGGTTAGAAAATTCTATTCATCAATGTGCAAAATGTGGCCGAGGCGTTGGTTAAGCCAAAAGGCATTACCAACCATTCGAATGAGCCATATCGAGTGATGCATGCTGTCTTAGGCTCATCCCCTTCTGCAATCCGTACTTGGTAATATCCCTTTTGTAGATCCACCTTTGTGTAATATTTTTCACTACCAAGCCTATCAAATAAATCAGCAATCAAAGGAATAGGATACTTATTTTTAATTGTTACCTTGTTGAGCGCCCGGTAATCTACACACATGCGTAACGATCCGTCATGCTTCTTTTGGTACAAGACCGAAGCGCCATAAAGTGCCTTCGAAGGTCGTATCCTCCCCGTGTCTAGCAACTCCGTCAATTGCTTTCGAAGTTCTTCCAGCTCCGGCGGTGCCATCCGATAGGGTGCCATGGATGGTGGTTTGGCACCCGGTTCCAACTCAATCTTATGATCCACCTCCCTCCTAGGTGGTAATTTCTTGGGTAACTCCGGTGGCATCACGTCCTTATTTTCTTCAAGGACATTCTTGATGACTTCGGGCACATTATCGTCACCCACAACTTC